CAGTAGCTCCAACAAGCCGTTTAGGATAGAGTGTGAATACACATACTATACAGAGATGCTGTATGAGAAACCAATTGAGTTTGGAAAATTGCACAATATAAATCTATTCTAGTAGACCTCAACAATGGAATTATGATTAGTAGAAATGGCCAAGACATGGGACCTTTAATTAAAAAAAGTTATGGTTAAAGATATGAAGTTAATGTTCTTAAAACAAGAGCACACAGAGAACTATTTTTGGGAGTTGTGTTTCATATTATTTTAAATACATTTTAGTTTTTCAACTTATCTTATCAACAATTGTGTACAGTTCAACCCATTCAGGTAATCTTAAATGAAATGTTCACAATGAAATGCAGTCAGTGTTTTAGCAGATGCAGCAGATGTGATTCATGTGAGAAAAAATGCAATGCTCCTTATAAAACATATACAACATATATTGCTAAGATATTCCTTGATTAGCTCCTGCCATCTGTTTTTTATTTATAGACTCAGGCTCTCCATCTGTTTAAAAGAGCTTAATGGAATAATATGGTTAATTCTAGATCATCAAGGGTGACAATGGTGGTGATTGTGGAAAAACGTACTGCCTCCAGGAACTTCTTTGACATGTTTCTGTCAGCTGACAACATTTTCCAAGAAGTGCAGCAGTCCAACATCTAGGGAAAATGTCTGGTTCACCTTTTATAGGCTAAGTTTCCAAATGCTGGCAGTCTAATTTTGGACTTCATACTGTGTTAACAGTATAATGAATATCATGGCCTAACGTTCATAATGCTTTGTCTTTTTTATGATTCCTTTGGTTTAAAATGTATCTGATGCATGTACCAGTGTGTACCTGGTGGGGCAGATGGTCAGTTTGTTGTGGCTCCTGCAACTGCATCCTGGCCTTGGTTTGGGTTCATCCCATCTGTCCTCCCCTTTCCTGTATATCTTTGGCTTTACTCTAATAAAAATATTAAAAGTTGTTGTTTTTTATTCGTCATGGATTTTGCCAGTGCTGCTGATGAAGAATAATTTAAGAATATTGCAGTACGATCCTAAATGTACCTTCTGTACTCAACAACAGGTCAAATTACACTTACATGTCTTTTTTTTTATTAAAAATCTTTTAAAATTATAAATCAACTAATAAATGATAATTTAATAGTATTTATCAAGATACCAAGCATTACAAAGTTAATAGAATAAGCTCCTCCTTTTACAACTGCAACATTAAAGGAGCTAATCAAGGAATATCTTAGCAATATATCACAGGAGTGCCTCACTTATTATAATTCAAAGCCAATTTCTGAATTATTCTTCCACCACTGAGTATTTTGTTTACAGTGTTGTACTAGTATCGCTTTAAAGTAAATGATCAGAATAATTCTGCAACCAATAACTGTCATTGCCCCCCTGTGTTGTTGTGGTAGGGACCCTACCACAACAACACAGGGGGGCAATGACAGTTATTGGTTATTGGCACGATGACCACATACACGAGTCTGACCAATCAGGAGATGAGGGGGCGTTCCCATCGGCTTCATTCTCCACTGCTGTGCTGGACCACAACAAACAGCGACGACAACGAATGTTAAGCAAGTAAAACAAATAACAGGTAAGACGTTAGCTAACTGGAAAACAATATGTAGTTTACTGACTGCACAACATATAACAACCAGGGTAACGATAGGATTCTCCTGTTGCGAAGCCATTAATTCGAACGATGTGTTCATTAAATATCAGAATTACGCGACGAAATTAAGAACAATATTGATGATGCTGTTGAAATAAAAATGTAGAGACCAAATATCGCCTTTTGGAGGAAGAATAGATAGGTTTTAGCAGTGTTCATGCGGCCGGTACGTTGTGTTCTTGCTGAGTCTGCAGCCCAGCGGCCTGTGTTCACAGACTCATAACAGACATCCTGTACTGAGTGACAGCGTGTTGTGTGTCTGTCGGAGGCATCTCTTATTATCATCTGCACGGTGTGTCTCGTACTTAATGTATCAGTAGCTATTTTTTGGTGGAAGAAATATTCAGATCCTTGTAAACGCACTAATAGTCTGGGGAAATAATCCACTACCAGTAAAAGCCCTGCATTTAGCCTTGTGGAGTTAGGCCCTGCTTTGTGTTATCAGCCTAATCTACTAAGTATATTAAGTAGAAGCACTCATTGTGATGTAAGAATTTGTCATGGTGCATTTTGCAATCACCGGCTTGTTGTACATCACCCCTCCCAAATAATGTTGCGTTAATATTACTGCTGTGTTTAAGTTGGATGTGGAAGTACCGGATCTTGTTTTAAAATTTAAAAAAATATTACCAAAGTGCAGAAATACTCTGTTACATGTTAAAGGCTTACATTCAAAATGTTAATTAAAGTACCAAAATATGGTCATATAAGTCCTTAACGCATATGTATGTGTGTGAAAAAAAACAACTAACAATGCTATGAAAATGTTTTGAAAGGACACAAAAAACTAAACTAAAATTACAGTATATTGCTTTGCCTACTAGCCTATATCGCAATAAGCTAAAACTTAAAGCATTACCATTTTGATGCCAAGTTCTTGCCAATACAAAACCCTATAAAAGTCTATACAGAGGATTCAACACATGTACATTAAGTAAAGGTAACATATGTGTCTCAATTGAGCATCACAGAATTATTTCAGTTGTATTAGGTCATTTTACAGGAGCCTTTTTTCTTGGAAAACGTGGCCTGGAATTCGTCCAGGTCCCATTTCACATTCAGACCGCTGTGTGGCATGTGGTTAGTCAGCATTTGCTGCTGTACCTACATGGCGGTTCCTATCGGCTCATGTTATCTTTTGTGTTGTGTACAGACGGCTGCAAATATGGGCAAGTTCCATTCTCACATGGCTAACCCAAAAGACGAAAGTCAGGATGCGCTGACAGCTTCTGACGGGGATGAGGATGGAAAGAATGGAGACGTTTCTCAGTTCCCCTACGTGGAGTTCACTGGACGGGACAGCGTGACATGTCCGACATGTCAGGGCACCGGCCGTATACCACGAGGTAAATCTTTATAGATATATTAACTCAACTCAAACTAGCTAAAGCTAAAAAGGCAGCATCACTTCATGTTCTGAAAAATTAATTGAGGAAATTAATTCATCACTGCATTAAAAAATACTGCATTCAGCTGTCTGTATTGGTGGGTTAAGAGTACATTTTAAGTGGAAAAAGTCAGCTGCAAGATATATCTGTGATTCTTCCTAGTAGTGTTCAAAGTGCAAATCTTACAAAAAAGTGCCTTTTTTCAAACAGCCGAATGATACAGCTTTGATTTCCTTTCTTTGCATTTTAAAACAGGTCAAGAGAATCAGCTTGTGGCTCTGATTCCATACAGCGACCAAAGGCTCAGGCCGAGCAGGACGTAAGTCTGCACTCTGCGCTCTTCTTAAATATTAACGGTGTTGGCTGTATGCGTGATGAAATTCAAAAGAACACACAGTAGCATGTTACACATTGGAGTCCTCAGCTGGATTCAGGGTTTCACTTCTCTTTTCCTTCTCATGCAGAAAGCAGTATGTCACGATATCAGTGGTCCTCTGCCTGCTGCTGTCTGGCCTCGCTGTTTTCTTCCTATTCCCTCGCTCTATTGATGTCTCCTATGTGGGAGTGAAGTCCGCCTACGTCTCCTATGACCTGGACAAACGCATCGTTTATCTCAACATCACAGTAAGATTGTGTCAGCATATTCACCTTAATAGAAACACTCTAGGATGGTTCAATACGTTGGCTTGTGTTTAGGTTAACATTATATAGATTAGATTAGATGTACTTTATTAATCCAAATTGGAAAATGTGTTTTGTTACAGCACCATGTAAACAACGCATTGCAAATGAGTTCAAAATACGCCAAATGTATGTATAGTACCTTCATTAAAAATATGTAAGTAGGAGAAGAGCATGCTTCAAGAGTTAAACACAATTGTGTTATCCTATTTGTGCAGTGTTAGCACCATAAGGCTGCACAAGCCTTTTTGTGAACTCCTCTTTGCATGTTACTGGTTCAACAACCAAAAATAAACCGTTAAAGCTAGCAACAGGCCGGTGAGTAATGTGGAGTATTTCTCATCTCAAGAACCAGAGACTTCCCTCAGGGGTTGGTGGAGAAACAAATTCAATGGAGAGATTGCAATTTCAATTAAAATGTGGTAATATGTAAGTGTTATGTTTAATAGTAATTATTATAATGGCAATGATTACAATCTCTACAAGTCAATGGTGTAGCTCTTTAAATCAACCACTATTCTGCCATTATCTCAAGCCTTTTATCTTCTTCCATCCAGAGCACCCTGAACATCACCAATAATAACTACTACACCATATCTGTGACCAACATCACAGCCCAAGTGCAGTTCTCCAAGACGGTGATAGGCAAGGCCAAGTTGAACAACAGCTCAATGATCATACCACTGGATGAGCGGCAGGTGGGTGGAAATACATTTGACTATTCACACACAGAAAGCAAAGCTAAGACAATCTATTTATTATTATCGATTTAAAAAAAGTTGATTGACATTTGGATGTCCTTAAGTTATGACAGCTGCTTATACAACTGCTCATTGTTATGCCTAAAGTCACAATACCAAGAAATCTCATACAGTAGCACAACTAACATACATTTTGTTTCTGTAAAAATGCCTCACACCAATGTTTTCCTCATTGTTAAAGCATCATTGTCTTGTCTTGTGACATTACAAATAATGGTACACCTTCTTTCTACTAGACAATTGGCCAGTGAGACCGTAAAATCTATACAATTGAAACGTTGTTTTAATTGGCATAAATGTGTATTACAGTAGGTTAATGTGTCATATTGATTTCAACTAAAAGGCTTTGATTGTTATTGCAGATTGACTACACAGTTCCCACCACCATTGCCGATGAGATGAGTTACATGTTGTAAGTATCTGTATAGAACATTACAAAAATGTACTGATTACACGTTGATCCTTTTTAAATCACAAACCAAATATTTTCTTACAGTGACTACTGCACCTTGCCAACCATCAAAGTTCACAACATTGTGGTCATGATGCAGTAAGTATGGTTAACATACAGTTATTGTATCACATGCCACATTCTGATGTTTTACTTTACATATAATCATACTGAATGTATTATTACGTATTGTGTATTTTATCCTTTCAAACATCAACATCCATTTCAACAACTTTGCCTCCATACACTTACATAGACTCCCACACATACTGAAAAACTGCCCAGAAACAACAGCGTCCAACAGGAGATACATGGGCCTTTGGGTGCACTGCTCATTACACGCTAACACTGACTTTCAAACAGATTGCAAAGCAAACATTTGGCTGAGGCAGAAATAATCTTTATTAGTCCACCTAATCCTCTGTGGTCTAAGCCAAATAACAGCTTTCTAGCCAATTAACAGTAAACTGCATCCCAGTAAAAATGGTACCATAACACCCACTTTGCAATTCAGTGGTTTTATATCCAGACCATAAAGCCCTGAGGATCACGCTTCCCTTTAAGTCATTTAACAATGGAAGATGTGTTTATTCAAACAAAACACAAACTGCTTTTGTCTGATGCTTAACATTTTTGGGAGAATGAGTCTAACAACTGGCTTTAACAGAAAGCAACACAACTACAGTATAACATAAATATGGAAATGCAAGTCAATAATTATCTTTCTTTTGAATTACTCATAATTTCAGCACCGGTTACAGCAAGCCAATGCTAAGAAATAAAGCAGTCTAAGCTACATAGCTCAATAGTTAGCAAAGGAGACAAAATGAGTTCAAACTAGACTATTGCAGGCTTCAGAGGTCACATTCGTCCTGAGCGTGTCTCACCTTGTTATCTGATGTATCGTTGTTGACGCTGTAATTGTTTTTCAGGGTGACGGTGACGACTTCGTACTTCGGCCACACGGAGCAGGTCTCCCAGGAGATGTACCAGTACGTGGACTGTGGGGGGAACACCACGTCCCTGCATGGTCATGTTCAGGTCTACCAATAAAAAGAAACAGAAGGAGCCCAAGCATTAAAACACTGCTGTGGCTGAGGGTCTAACAGAAAAACAGGCTGACTTCCACGAGGCAAATCCTTGCACAATGACAATGAAATAATGCATAGGGACATAACTTTTGTTAAACTAGTCATTGGCTCATCCATTCTTACTATTCCCAAACACTTGCACGAGCTTCTTTGGGTTGAAACTTGTCAAACAGGCTGTTAAAAGTAGAGAAGACATATTTTGCATTACTTGCCTCAAGGTTTGTTGTCATTTTTCACCCAGGTGCCAACAAAATAAGTTATGTAATTTAACATTCACATAAATGGATAACATTCCCATCATGTTTTCACTGTGATTCCTGAACAATTACATTTCAGAAAGCATTAGTTTCAGATATGATGCACTTTAACTAGCGATGCACCAATCATTCGGCCGAAACCAAAGTCATATATTTTTTTGCCTTTGAAATTTACAAACATGCCGCATAATGGCTAGGTTATGGTCACACAAACACACACTCACATCATATCGTCATTATTTATGGTAATGACATAAAGTGTGTTATTATACAGATATGTTTGGACTGTAACTGGGCACAGTTTTGGAGAACATGTTAGTTAATGGTAAACATATGTATTGTAAACATTAAATTCAACTTTTATTATCAGGAAAGTTACAAAGCTGTTTGTGTAAATTATAGTTCTTGTTGATAGAAAGGAAATCTAAACCAATAGGTCAGACTTTAAAAATGATTTCGACCAACAATGTGCAGTTGGTGCATCTCTAACTTTAACCTGGTCCATATCTATAGATATGAATGATTGTAGAATGAGTATCACCTATTACTCTATACCACTTTTAATGAAAAATACAACCAAGGTTCAAGAGTGGGAAAAAAAAAATCTTGCTGCTTCTCTTTTTGCTGTCACTTTCTCTTCTTTTATTTTGCTTTATAGAAATATGATTCTTTATTTGTGTAGCACTAAATAGATGATGTTTTATATTGTATCAGTTGTTATTTTTGCTCAGAGTTCTTTAGCTTGGGTATAGGTACTGTAAGTATTTTCTTATGTTTAGCTAGCATTCACCTGAGTGATTTAAAAGCAAATGTGACTACTGTGAAGACTGCTACATATTGTTACAAGGTAACAAGATAACTGTAAAAGGGATTTATAAAAAAGCTAATTTATAGCTAACGTGAAGCATTAAAGTGGTCTATAAACATGCTGAACTGTGTAAATGTAAAATATGTCACATCTGTCTTGCTTCCTAACATGCTTTATCTGGATTCATTGCAATTTCTTCCCTTTCATTGTAGTTTTATGTTTGTGAGCTATGGTGTAATTTGCAATAATGTGTTTAATATTCTAACACACTTTAACTTGTATCATGAGTGGACTGGTTTTCATTATGTCACTTGTTAGACGCTTTTATCCAAAGCAACTTAGATACTCAGTACTGTGGGCAATCCCCACAGGAGCAATTTGGGGTGAAGTGTCTTGCCCAGGGACACAACGACATGTTGACAGCAGTGTGGTTTGAACCTGTGCTCCCCTGATCCGAACACCAACGCACGTGAAGTTTTGACCAACAAGTAAAAAGTTCTCTTTAGTTACGTGTTAAGGGACCAAAAACAGGTAAAAGTTTTTCATTATTGAAAAGCACATAAAATGAGAGGAAAGGAATTACGTGGACCTTGTCATAGACCTGAAAACCATAATATCTACGGTTAACCACGTTCTAATTTGGGTTTAAGTGCGTTTACCTTATCCCTTCATTACGTTTTGCTGTGTTTATTTCAAAGTAGGGGGATTGTAATTTGTCGCTTCCATCACTAAGGGGTCCAAGGGATACCAGGTTGTTGGATAATAATAAATCAGTGACATGACATTGTTGTAAACTGATTTTTCAGTTAAATCTAATTTAAACAATATCGATATCGATGGTCAATCTACTCCATTTTGACTAATCGACTCTGTGGTGTACCCGTGGGGGGTCGACGACCAATTGTCTCTTATTGTTGTAGGTTATGTAACTTTTCTCGAAAATTTTACTCCGTACTAAATAACAAAATTACGTACTTTTTGTGTTTGGCGGACACATCTCCAAAAAGTTTATATGTGATAAGAGTAGTTTATATTTCTGTCCCTACCCACCTAAGATGTCTATAAGGAACCCGACTTAGTATGCTTTAAACATCATTTATCATTATCTTTTCAGAGACGTAATACCGTAAAATAGTAATAGACAGGCCTAGGTGGTTTAATTGAATGGACGTATATTGAGGGGTTTTGGGAAATCTATGGAAGGTGTGCAAAACTCGAAAAAAATTTTAAAGTTGTGTTTTACTTTATTGTAAAACTGATTTTTACTTGGTTTTCTTTTTGCAGCCCGCACACCAA